TTTTGTGTCAGGAGGAAATGACAACTTTTTTTGTTTGTTTACAACTTATGATAGCTTTGGTTTATCTACTAGTATTCTGTGTTTTGACAGCAGAAAATGTGATCACAAAGTTGGTGGAAGGCTTTGAAAATACATGTAGTGGTACAAACATGCCCTGGCTGTATCTCATAGTGATCGTCCATATACAGTTTGTAAGATGTTTTTTATCCATCTTCCCAGTATTTGCTGAAGCCTGCATCTCCATCCTATGCCTGTCCTGTACGCAAGAAGAACATCAGGCGACGTAGATGCAACAAGTGTAAGGGTTGCTTGATGGAGGACTGTGGCAGGTGCTACGACTGTCAGAGAAAACGTATCTGCAAGAAGAAAAAATGTTTGGATGTAAGTTTGGAACCATTCCGAAAAAGCAATGTACTGGTCAAACAGTTTTTGCAATTCTTTTTTACAGAAATATATAGCTATATATCGTTCCAGTTGAGATGTAATGTTATCCAACTTGCTATTTATGTCACCACCTGCCGTAAGATACAATTGGCACACTTATCTTTCAAGTTCCATAAACATGTTTGGTTCTGTTTTGCAGCCACTTCTGCCCCCTGCTACCCGCTGTCTGATCTGCACCCAGACTGGCACGGTGTCTGCCCTGAGTGAGTGCAGCACGTGTGGGGAGATCCTCCACCCACGTTGCGTGGCTGTGTTAGGGGAGAGGGGTTCCAAGGACGGCAGGACCTCACAGACATGGGAGTGCCCCAAATGTTGTCAGGGCAAAATTGCACACACAGGGGTAAGGACCATGGCTGATTATGTGACTTCTGAGTTCAAATATTCCAGTTTCAAGTACGTAGACAATAATGTGATATCCAGCAAAATCAAGTCAAAAGATGTGTTGAAAACTGCCAAAACTATATCTACTGAATTATGAGCTGTAAAAATCTGCTTGTTGTATAATTTCTGAAACCCTTCTATCCCCACAGGGTAGGACGTACTCAGGCCCCCTGCCCACCCTGCTAGAGAACAGTCTCCTGCTAGCAGGCTTCACTGACTACCTGGCCCGCAACTGCTGGGCCCTGGGGCTGTGTGACACAGACTCCCTGGGGTGGGGCGGTGACCCAGGGGAGATCCTCAGGCAGCTGGCTGGGATATGGGTGGAACATCTCCCCATTGCCAAGAAGGGTCAGTGTGCTTTTTTGTGCAACTGCTAATAGAAACTTAATATTCTGCAACATTGAAAGAAGAGAAGAGCAGCTTACTGTGATGTTCATTGTGCGTGAAAACCAAGCTCACAATTCCAGAGATTGGCCATAGTTGTCCTATGTGGAGCTTTTGCTTGTTTTACACAATGTTGATTCCTGACGCATGTTGAAGTGGCACCAGTACACATGTACTACATATTGTGTTTCAGTGCAATGAATGAATGTCCACTACATGGATATTTCTTATGATGCTAATCTGACTTTTTTAACTGTTTGAATCAATTGCAGGCCTGTCAGGGGAGGACTTTGAAGGCCTGGTGGTGAGTCTAGAGGACAGTGTGGCAGTGCTGGAGTGGTACGGACAGAACCATGGGATGTTTGACGGTCTGGTCCCGCTGGCCAGGAGGATGGTCGGGGTCGTGGAGGAGGTCAAGTCTGGGTACTGGGAAGGTGGGAGTGATAATATATCATGTTCAAGTGCTGTAGTTTCAACAAGTCATATTTAGCCACAAAGACACTCTATTTGTTTTCTTTCCGCAACAACATTCCACCTGTCAAGCTGATAAATTCTTTGGCAAAACAAAGGTGAATGAAATTTGTTGTGTTCTAAGATCTATCTTGATTAAGTGGTCACAAACTTGGCTGCTTTTCAACAAAATGGTCTGTTCTAACTGTAACAATTGTTCTTGTAGAGGAAGACCCGTACCTCGTGGAGAAGACGGAGCTGCCAAAGAGGAAGCGGTCCAGCAGGAAGAGTCAGGCCACTACAAGCAAAAAGAGCCCAAGGTACGGTGACACAGTGTTGCTGATCTTGACAACTTTGTGATTTAGATTGAAAAAGATTGTTTAGAAAATTTTGCTTCTCATGCCATCATGCCTATGGTGGTAAAGTTGCAGAGCTGCACACCATCCAGCATTCCTCCTGTACCTGTACTGTTGTAATAGAAGGAAGGAGATAAACCAAGTTCACAGTATGTAAGACTTTGATTAGGAGTAAAAACTCATCTTGCTATTGATTCTGTGTTACAGGTCTGCTTCAGATAGCAGTCCTTTGGAGAAGAAGAGCTCGCTGTTCAGGTTTCTGACCTCAGGCCACAGTTCTGCCGACAGTAGCCCTGTAGTCCCGGCATCTGACGTCTGCTCACCAGAGTCCTGCACTGACACTGCAACGGAGAACAGTCTGGCTTACATCCAACCAGCAGACAAAACAACCAGCCTTCCAACACCCCAAGTTGAGGACAAGCAGGTTGTCGGAGTAGGAGAAGGCCCAAACAAGGAGCCTGACAGTGGAACACCTAGTGACCTCAGCAACACCCCCGACAGTGACCCCTTCCCACAGTTCAGCAGGAAGTCTGACAGTGCCTTCCCCTCTAGCTGGTACGTTGAGGACAGTGACAGCGAGGACTACCTCCCTACACCTCCTAGATGCCCGTCACCTCAGCCAGCCAACCAGACAGACAGGAACCTGCCAGTGTCCCCACAGCCCTCTCCAAAGAGGCTCAGAGAAGACAGTTCTGACTACATGAATGATGCGCTGGATGTGATGTTTGAGCATGCTCATCCCAGTCTCTCCAGTACATCAGGGTCCATCAAGATGTCAGCCAACAGCGCAACTGCAGATGACTTTGTCAACGATGTAAGAAAGAAGCTACAAGACTTTTTCTCAGCAACTGAAGCCAGAGAAGCCAGATATGAAGAGTCTACTTCATTCTCTAACTCCACTGGTTCCCTGGCCCCGTCTGGGCATACATACCGAAGACAGGCAACGGTACGTGAAAGTCCCCACGCAGGGCTTGAAATCAGGCAAAATGTTGCCACCACCCAATCTCTTCCGACAGGGTACCCTCAGGCTGCTTTCCCACAGCAAATGCAGCCAGGTCACTGGGACCCAACAATCAACAGGCCACCACCAGCAGCAGGTCAGAGCGCTACAGGGTACAACTCCATCTGCCACTGTGCAGCATGCTGTAGGCCACAGACCTACATGCAGCAGCCACACCAGAGCAGAGCTTCAAAGAAGACCCAGCGCACAGCCCCACCTGTGAGCCACACACCGGCAGGAAGGAGCAGGCATGCCACTGTAGCGAACATCCCTCCAGTCAGGTCTTACTCCCCCTCCTGGCACGCCACCAACCCACAGTTGCAGGCAGCGACCAACGGGAGTGGTATGTCGTCCTATCACCAAGGAAGTTGTGGGAACGATGGGTTGTGGTTTGATGTGAACACGACGCAGCCGATGCCGACAGCTTACCGTGCCACAGTACAGATGAGCCTGGCCCCACAGGAAACAAGGAAGGTGCAAGGTCATCCAGCACAGCCACGGGCACCACTTGGTGACAGTAACAGATACATTCCACCTGCTAGATATGGAGGAATGAGGAGCAAAGGAACGAAGGATGCTCAACATCACAGTTACTGGCCTGTGGAGTAGTCTGGAGCATTTTCTGTGGGTGGGATGGTTTGTAAGGTCCTCAGGAAAACAGGTTATCTGTACAATGCCTGTCTTGTTAATGTTGGCATTTCTGTTTCAAAAATTGCATGCTTTTATAGATTTTAGAGTAGATTTATGCGGTAGCTTTGTTGTTAGTTGTTGTTGTTCGGTCATACTTCTGTCCTGAACAATGCAACAATAGTTGTAGGTGTCCTTTATACTACAACTTCATTGTTATTAGTACAAATGTAGTATTTTAACCTTCTTTTACTGTTGATACTTTGTTCCTTGACTAACTTTACTAATTTGTGTTGGGAGAACATCAACACTTCTGGAGATATCTATTGCATTGATCTTACAATATCATAGGATCAGACAGAGCCTAAACAAAAAGTGTCCTGCTAATATTTTGTTCCAAAGTTCATTGACTTTGTTGAAGAGTTGTTTTAGACAATCAAGTTTTATTAAACACAAAAAAGGTCTATGACTTAGATTTTATCAAAGTATTTGTACCAAAGTAGGCTACAGAAATTAAAGCTGATCATGACCATCATTTTTGTCCTCCCATCATTCCACTGTGCCTACATGAAATAAATTTATTTTTTTCGTATATTGAACACTTGGATAGTCTACTGTTGTAACTAACAGTTTATGGATATTCTTACCAATTTTTAAATGGTTCCACAAATGGAAGCTGCCTAAAGATACCCTTTCCTTTACGTGACTTATTGAAATACTAGAAAAACTCTACTATATTACACGACACTGATGGATTTATGTACATCTAATAGTATATAAGTCTACCTTTTCAAAATGCCTAAAAAGTGGAACCTCAATAGAGTAAGTTCTTTAGGTGACTTGTTGAAATACTAGAAAAACTACTACATTACATGACACTGATGGCTTTATGTATATGTACATCTAATATATGTTTTATAAAAGTCTACCTTTTCAAAATGACTAAAGTGGAACCTCAATAATATGGCACTTATATCTAATCTGTAGTAACAAAATAAAATTCTGCTTGTAGAAAATCAATAATGATCAATGTATTAATCTACATTATGATAAATGAAAGCCTCATTTAAGGCTACTTTCTAGATTTTCAATTTCGTTCTTGTAAAAATTTGCACAAAACAAGCTAAAAGATCAAGTCTACATGGCTGTAACTACTGTGAGATACATGTATACAGCATAGTTTGGCACATCAGACATCTGCATTTATAACTACTTTCCACAAGAAGAATGGTCTAGCCATCACTGAGTTCATCAGCAGGCTCTGGAGACAAGGAGGCAAAGAACAGAGCTCTCCTAGCTGCATTTTTGAAGTAGCCAGTAGGTAGGTTGTTTGCTGAGCCTGATAGTCCACTACCCCTCACACTTGTGTTATCCACTGATAACTTTGATGCAGGAGAGCTGCTGGTGGGTCTTTCATTCCCACTGTCCCTGTCTGCAGACAGGCGACTGCCTGCTTCTCTTCCCAGCTGTGTTGATGGTTGTATGCTGACATGTTTCCTGCCATCGTCCTGACCTTCAGGTCTGTATTGGTCTTGGTCTGGAGACCACTCTGGTAAATTGGAAGGTTTGGTTCCCAGCACAGACTTCTTTTCTCTCCTTAGGGCAAGTTTAGACAAGCTCTTCAGGGTTTCATTCCACATGGAGTCAGTGACGTCACTTTTCCCTATGTCATCACCTGAGGCTGAACTTGTGACCTCACTGAGATCTTTGTCCTCTGACTCTTTATCTGACTCTTCTACACCAGGTACCTTTGGAGTGTCTGCAACTTTGTGTACTGCTGATTTTTGTTTTGGCACAGTTACAGTATTGAAGGTGGATTTCTTTGGAACATTGCTGTCTGTTTTGGGGACTTGTCCTGTTTGTTGTTTTGTGTTTGTTCTGATAGCCCCTGGTTCTGGACTTTTCCCCTCTACTACCTCTTCAGGTTTGGGCCTGGGACTTTTAAGCCTCTTGTACTCATTATAGGAGACATTCATCTGCCTGGCTAACTCCATCTCCTTTTTCTTCACAGCTGTGTCCAGTTCCTCCAGCTGTTGCTTGTGCCTGTCAAACATGTCCTCCAGTTTCCTCCTGTGCTCCTGAGCCTCCTTCCTTTTCAGGTGGACCCGCTCCCATCTCTCCCGCTCCCTACGGGCCTCCGCCTCCTTCTCTTCTCTCCACTTCTTTTGCTGTAAAGGACACAACATATTGTATGTTCAACTTTGGGTCATTAAAATGACGAGAGTACGATTGTACTGTACAAGCACTTGAAGGAAAATTAATGAATTTCCAATCTGAGTGAAATTAAGGTGTTGGAAGGACTAAGTGTAATCTTGGATAAAGACAGCTACACATACATCTTGTTTGTCCAAAATTGTGATTTCTAAACATGACAGAAGTCACCTGAAAATGCATGTCCCCTATCCTCTTAAGTTGGGACAGATAGTTCCTGAGAGACTCATGTCCATGTCCTCTGGTTACAGCCTGGACCTCCAGGAAGCATGGCAAACCAAATTTTCTCTCCACTGTCTCCATTGCAATATAGATCCTGTCTGCAGAGGACTTCTCCATCCAAACCTACAAAGAGGAATTATGAAAGCTTTGCCATAACAGCAGAAAAGTAGAAATATGAACATCATGTAGGGCATGTTTCTACTCTACCTATTGAACACAAGTTTGTACCTTTGGATCCATCTCTCCTTCACAAATCTTGTTGACAAGTCTGCAGAGCAAACTCCCATCCTGGAAGCTGAGGAACACAAGAGATGTTAGCATTCTACAGTCTGTGGGATGTCTAAAGAGTTGATGTTAGTCACATACATTGAATTACACTTTTCTGTCAATGCATGTACTTGTTGAAAAGTAGCATTTAGTCAGGAAATGAAACAGCAGTAATGTCAACAATCCTGTGCAACATGTACTATTAGTACTATGAAAATTTTGACTGGAGATCTATGCCTACAGCTACTGCAAAAAGGCTAAGGCACAAGGAAATCTGTCACAGACTAAATTTCAAGATGATAAGCTCAGTGATGTTTAAAATTAAATCCCAGGTATCAAGTTTATGTTAGGAGAGTAATTGTACTATAATTCTGTTGAAATCAGTGGGTGAATCCGCATATAAGGACTGACGGTGCATATTATATAGACATGAAGAGTGTTAGTGATTCTGATGCACTACAAAGTGAGTATAGAATATGCATCCAGGAAAGGTGAACACTTACACAGAATAATCCACCACCATATGTCCCAACATGCACTTCACCCATGCAAATATGGCCATGTCTTCTTGTTCCCAGGTCACCAGGGGAGCCTGGGTGTGTCCCCTGCTATCTATCCCATCATGCCTTGTACCAGGGTGATAAGGTTTGTATCTAGAAGTTAATGGAACTGCACGGACAGCGTATTTCCCAACACCTTGTGTGAGAAGTAATGTGGAAACGGTGTTAGTATCTGGTAAAATTAACTGTAGTGGTGCTCGAACAATTTCTTACTCTAGTAAGTACATATACATTGCCTTGACAAAAAATTTGTTGATACCAAATATGCTGGTTTTCAATGTGCATTATTCCTAGGGATAATATACACTATGTCTTGTTCGTCCGTCCTTCTCGGCGATGAC